TAATCCAGCAAGAGGAAAACAAAAGTCCAAGAAGGTAATCCCACAACAGTTTAGGTAATTCCATAATGTTGTTGGTAATTCCATTGTAGCAATGCTTTAATGCAGATTTTTGTCGGAGGCCTAGTCCAGTACACACACACACACACACACACATATACATATATATATATATATATATATATATATATATATATATATATATATATATATATATATAGTTTAATTTGATCATTTTAATAATCCATCCATCCATCCATCCATTATCTTTACCCACTTATTCCATTTTGGGTCACGGGGGTCGCCGGTGCCCATGTCCAGCAATCATTGTGCGAGGGGCGGGGTACACCCTGGATGGATCGCAAGTCCATCACAGGGCCACATAGAGACAAATGAGACAAACAACCATTCACTCTCTCTCTCTCTCACCTAGGGACAATTTAGAGTTACCAATCAGCCTAACATGCATGTTTTTGGTCTGTGGGAGGAAACCGGAGCACCCGGCGAAAACCCGCGCATGCACGGAGAGAACATGCAAATTCCACCCAGAAAGGCCCCTGGACCGGGGTTTGAACCAAGGATCTGCTCGCTGAGAGGCAGCAGCTCTACCAGTTGCGCCACCGTGCTGCCCATTTTAATAATCTGTATTCTTTTTAATTTACCAGAAACTTCAAAATAAATTCCCACCCTGTACTGAAACCTGTTTCCAAGGTTTTACCACCACCAGCTGGTAATACGCATGATGTCAATTTGAACCCCGCCCACTGGAACCGGTACTGAAAGGAACTACGGAAACACAATGTGTACCGTACCGAGCTGAGTTGAATAGTGCTGTACCATACTAAGAGGTACAATGGAAAAGGGGCATATGATGTCTTGAACCACTATGGCTGTGGCTGCCTGCCTGGGAGGAGTTGATGGGGGACAGGACAGCCCCCAGAAACCATCTTATCACCAGCAAACTGGTTGGTCCACTAAAGGAGTGTACTGCGTAGTGGGGAAGATAGTTTACTAGGGACTTCTCAGACTGATGAAGCCCTCCGTGTAGAGAGCGAAACGTCTTTCCACAAAAAAGAAACTGTCCAGTGACCTGACTGACCATTAATGGATTTTGTACCTGGATGACTGAGCATGAACTTTGATATTTGCTTGGTGCCATTTTTTTTAACTTGCATCATCTTGATGTGTTGACTCTGGGCATCATATCAGAGCTCCACAGTTCTCAGGTGGCTGCGAGGAGAGACAGCAGCTAACACGCTCTGAGGCAAACACTCCGACTTCTCCACGGTACTGCCGCAGCATGACCAGTGAGGCTTCCCAGGATGACCCTGATGTCCGTGACCGCAGCCTTTAAATCCTCCTGCAAACAGAAGTGTACGACAAAAGCAGGGACGGATAGGAACATGTCAATCAGAAATAAGTTCATGGAATCTTTAATGAGCATAAGAGAACTAAAGAGACAAGCATTGCAGATTCAAAATTAAAGAAAAAAGATGCCAGTAAAGTAGCAAAAGGGTTTGGGTTCTGTTGACCCAAAATTGACTGAGAGGATATCCTGATGCATGCTCAATAATCCAGGTAGAAAAATCTAAACAAGTTAAGTCTGGTCCTCTGGACTGACTGAGAGGAGTTTCAGACTACAGGAATAAAGTAGCTTCAGCTTTATGTAATAATAAAAACAAAAACAAGTTGCTGCAAACATCCTGACGTCTCGTTTCTTGACAGACTTTTCTTTTTATGGAAAGAAAACTGATCAGAAATAAAATTATAATTCATAGACAAATTAGCAAATTATTCTTGTTTTTTGTGTGTGTGTGTGCTTGTTTACGTTATTTTGAGAGAACCGTTTCTGAACACATAATACATTGCGAGGACAAACTGCTCTTTATGAGGACCAAAGCCCAGTCCCCATAAGGTCCAAGTATCGTTGGTGGGTTAGGGTTAGAACTAAGGTGTAAATTGAGGATGGGTTAGGGTTAGGTATGTAATGGTAATGGTTAGGTTTAGGCTAAGAATAGCAGTCCTTCTTAAATAGTGGGGCGTGCCCAGGGTGATGCAAAAGGGGGCGCATGCCCGGGGAACATGCTTTTTTTTTGCACTGGGAGTAGGCTGTTTTTTTTTTTTTTTTACATCATTCTCATTTTGACAGGGTGCATTTGGCAACTGTTTGCTCAGATCCGGCAAGTCTCAGTCTTACAAATAATAAAGTTATGAACAAATATGACTACCATATCATTTTGGGAGCCATGCTTGAACCGTGTCACTCCCTGCTGCTGAGACGATAAATAAACAACTCCGACAGCTCCGCTGCTGTTTTTATGATGCTCTGGACACTTGTCACCCACAGTACGCATGTGACAAAGAGTATAAACTCAAAGCGAGAGTGATACCTGCCCCCTCCATCCTCTTGCACGTTGACAAAAAAAATTAGTTTTATCGATGAGTTTGTCAAAGCACAATTTTGATGTGTTTTTTTTGTAAATACAGAATTAATATTTAATAAATATTAGGACTCTATCCTTTGCTAACAAAATATATTTTATGCCATTAAATAACTTGTCAGGTTCTTCTCTAGGTAAGCTGTGATTGGCGCCCCTTTCCCGACGTTACATGTTCATGGTGAGACGTATGTGTCACTTCCTGTATTTTCTGTTGGTAGCTCAAGTAATTTGTTTGCTCGAGTCTTCTTTTGTTTTCTGGATTCATCTATCTTTTGCACAGTTTTTCATTTTAGTACACAAACGCTCTCAGCACTGTTGTTTTTCTACTCTTGGACTGTGCTTGAAACACCTATATTTCAACATTTCTCAGTTCTATTTCGTATAGGCTTCGCCCTTTAAGAGCTGTCGCTTAGTGGGTTTTATCCCGTCATGCAAAGCATCGCACTGAAATGTTTAGTCCACGCCCACCTGTTGTGTGGGCCCCACCCGGTCCATATAAATTACGTTAAGAGCGGGTAATCGGCTCCCAATTTTCTTCAGCAAATGACTGTCACTGACCTTCAACAACGAGATGTCCAGCACTAACACCATTTGACTGTGTCCATCCTGCAAAACCGACTACTTGCTGAGTTTTGACCGGCACGACATCTGCGAAGGATGCCTGGGTCCCCGCCACATCGCCCATGCCTCCTCCTGCCACCTCTGTGACCTCCTTCCTCTGGAGGAAAGGCAGAGGAGAGCAGCCTTGTTCAAGGATAACGTCGAGGACTGCCTCTCCGTGGCGGGAGACTGTTCGCTGGATGATGCAATCGACTTCTTCAACGCCGGCTCTCGGAATGAATCGGATGGTTCCTCTGGGACAGGCGACATCAGCACCAGCCCCGACGTTCACTCCCTCCCGGAGAGTGTAGTGTTGGAACGAGGGGGCCGAGCGGATGCTCACCACCACCCCCCTCCCCCGGGCCTTCCCGCTTCAACGGCCACACCACATCGCTCCCTGCTGTCGGTGCCCTCCTCTCGGAGCTGCCCGGCATTATCTGGGAGGCTGCTGACATGAAGGGACTTTCCGTCCCTCTCCCCGCCCAGATCGGATGATCTAGCGGGTAGGTTTGGCTTCACCCCGGTTCGCCGTCCTGATCCCATCTGGCCTCGTTTTCCAGCAGTGGCGTCCTACTGGAACGAGGCTGTAGCCGGTCCTGGTAAATTGAGTGCGCCCGTCTCCACTTTCGCTCCCATCACCAGAGTGGAGGGGTTCACCGAGCTGAACTTTCCATCGGTACCCCGCCTGGAGCCGAGCCTGGCGGAAGCTTTCGGAGCAAAGCTGTCCAGATTGGACCAGCATCCTGTCCCTCCCAGGAAGCATGACCAGACGGTGACTTCGCTCTCCAATCAAGCTCACCAGTGTGTGTTCCAGGCGGCTGCAGCAAACCACAACGTGGCGCTGTTGGCGTACAATATTTCGAATAGGCTGGAGACCGCAGATTTGCCTGAGGAGACTAAGAGCTCCCTCTGCAAGGCATATGACGTCATCCTCAACATGTGCTCCTCTTCTGCTGTCTGTCTGTCCCGAATCGCAGCATGGATGACGATGATTCAGAGGTCCACCTGGCTCCGTCACTCCCCTCCCTGCCGGAGAAATTGCACAAAGACCTGATGTAGGGCCCCATCACGACGGACGCGCTGTTCGGGTGCAATTTCAAGGCCATGCTGGAAAACTCGAAAAAGTCGGAGGAGGTGTCAGAGACTGTGCGCCATCTCATTAAGCCGCACGCCTCATCCCGCCCCTGGCCCGCTGGAAGGATCGTCGTGGGCATAGACAACAACATTGACATTCCATGGCCGCAGCAGTGTCTTCCCGCTCCGCCGCCAGCCCCGCCCGTCAGAGATCAGCCCTCCTCATCCCGGCAACCGGCAGTTCAGCGTTTTCCCAGAGATCGCCAACAGGCGGCACCCTGGGACAACAAACCGCAGAGCTCAAGGGGGAGAAGATTTAAAAAATGACGGTTTGCGGAGGATGTGTGTAATGATGACACGAGTTTTGAAATAAAACATGTACATCATTCAATGATTAAAGTGTCTGATTTTAGCCTGTCTGTCAGCTCGGATGACCTCACAGCGGCTCCTCGCACATCCTCCACACAAAACGAGCCAGTGTCCTTAAAAAAGGTTTTTCAGAATCACCGCAGCTCCAAAATAAACGCGAGACGCTAGCATGACACAACAGTCAAAAGTGAATGTGGTCCGCAGAACGAGTCCAACGGAATAACTAGTTTTCAGCCCGAGCAGCACGCTTCTCACCACAGCGGTGTCAAACGCGCACTCCCACAACACCAGCAGCCTTCACTCAAACGGTGCTGCGTTGATGAAGGCGCGCACACCACTCCCCAGCACTCGCCGGCTTGCATCAGCATAAATGTGAGACCGCAGAACGAGCCCAGTGAGAAACCTCACTCTCAACAGGAGCGGGACGCGTCTCACCGCAGCGGTGTCAAACATGCGCTCCCGCGGCGCCGGCAGCTTTCATCCAAACAGCGCCGCATTGATGAAAGTGCGCACGCCTCTCCTCAACACACACGGTCCACATCGACATGAATGTGAACCCGCAGCCTGAGCGCGGCACAAAGGCGCGCTCGGAGCCCTTTAGAGAAAGCCTCGCCTTGGGTCACGCGTAACACACTTCCGCGGCGCATGACGGCGGTCGAGGCAGTAGACTGGCTGACATCCGTAAGAAACATGACGCACCACCTAAATGCACGCCCACTACACGAATATCGCGCAGAGTGGCAACGAACATGCTCGCCAGACGGATGGATGAGCAAGCTGATAAACAGGGGTTACACGCTACAATTCGCAGCTCGACCCCTTCTGTTCGGAAGAGTTTTAGAGATGGTTCTGTCATCACCAGACCAGGTCTCATCCCTAAATGCAAAAGTCCAAGAACTGCTGGTAAAAGAGGTAATTTCCAGAGTTCCCGACGGAGAGGAAAACACAGGTTTTTACTCACGTTACTTCCTGGTTCCAAAACGGACCGGAGGAACGAAACCCATTTTGGACCTGTTAGTTTTCAACAAGGCGATTGTGGACAGACCGTTTCACATGTTGACAACCAGACAACTGTTGGACAACATCCACAAAAACAACTGGTTTACCTCCATCGATCTGAAGACGCCTACTTCCACAAACCGATCATCCCAAAGCACAGAAAATTTCGGCACTTCTCCTTTCAAGGGATGCAGTATCAGTACAACAGGCTGCCGTTCGGTTATTCCCTCGCACCTCATACGTTCTCAAAGTGTGTGGAGATGGCCTTGCAATCGTTACACAGAGCAGGGATGAGAATTTTGTTTTAACTAGATGACCTGTTGCTGCTGTCACGCTCCAGACGGGAAGCAGTGGTGCAGACTCAGGTGCTGACGTCACACCTGCTAAATCTGGGCTTCACCATAAATTGGAAAAAAAGCTAGACTCTCCCGGCCCAGACAATTGTTTATCTGGGAGTGGAGTTAAACTCGACCACCATGAGGGCTCGTTTATCACAGACGAGAATCGACTCTCTAAGAGTCCAGCTCCGCCACGTAAGACCTGGCAGAGTAGTAACAGCTATTTCTGTCATGAAGCTGTTAGGAATGATGTCGTCAGCTCACACAGTAGTTCCGCTGGGCTTACTCCACATGCAACACCTCCAGAGATGGTTTGCTCGTCTGCTCGTGGATCCGGTAAAGCAAAAGAGATGGATGATCACTGTTCCTCCCTCCGTGAGAACAGATCTCCGACACTGGGAAAACTCCCTGGTTCTGTCGGAGGGAGTCCCCGTCAGCAGACCTACGTCACACGTGTCAGTCTTCACAGATGCGTCGCTGTCAGGTTGGGGGGGG